AAGTCGAGTAATCTGAAAGTTAAATCGTTCACAAGTTATACTTAAACGAAAGCCGACATGTTGCAGTGTTTATGATTTATTTATTGTTTCACTATAATAAATCCTGTTATACATTGCTATTTCATTTGATATTTGGTCAATTACTCAAAATTGAAAGTTCTTTCTAGTAAGTTTTGCCGATAATACAACTTTAATAGAAATAGTAGTCTTCTAGAAATAAAGCACAGCAAAATTATATTTTGTAATCTAACGCATGAAACTGATTTGCATTTTGTTGTATTGTAATGTAAAAAAGCAAATGTTTTCATTATTAGTAATTTAATTTAAATCCCAATTCTCAAGAGCAAGCATGAAAAGTTTAAAATAATCGCTTCAACTTGGAAAGTATTGTGTGCGCTTTGTTCTGGATAGTTAGGGATCCTTATCGTGCTGCACATTGTTGTCATTCACTTCTCAATGATCGATGGTGAAGTCCTCATTCTGGATTTAAATCGCTTTAGTATCGACAGAAGTCACATTTTTGGTTTCTTCCAAAATTCCATAATCGGCTTCAACCAGTATGTATCCCTGTGTGAAAAAACACGTCATGTACTGGCCATACAACATTATATGAATTATATTAATATTATCAACAACATTGGTAATATACCTTTTGTCTGAGCTTTAATGTACCGTACTCGACCGCGTTAGCGCCCATGCCCGGGCAAGCGCCCACCCCCCACTTTTGCCCAAATTTTATATTTTGTGTCACATTCGGCAAAGCGCCCACCCCTTCAAAATTTAAAACTTGGTCTTGCGTAACGAATCTTGGTAATTGTTTTTATATGATACAGCGTGGATATCGATCGCTGTGAACATGTTGTGAATGCGTAGAACACGGTAGCAATGACCTGTTAATACAAGTAAAATGCGATAAATATTTCATGCCATATTCAGTTTACTTCTCAAAAATGGCTAGTTACTAGTTTTTTGGAAAACCATGTCGTTTATTCGCTGAAATCAATTCCAACAGATCGAACTTCGGTATATATCAAAATGCACATTCAATGACGTGACAGTCTAATTATGCCATATTATATGTAGACACCTTACAAACTGCTAATTCACATAATTGTTACCCCTAATATTTATGAATGGTTACACTGAGAGTTGTGCTCCCCCTAATACGTAGGAATGTTCACTTGTGAATTATGTTACCCCTAGTATTGGGGAATACTTACCTCGTGAGTTGTGACGTTAGAATTCTTGTAGTTCCATTGAGGCCCAATTACTGGAAAATGCGATCCATGTTTCAAAGCTCCTGTAACATGAAATTTACTTTATTTTGAATCGTTTATAGTTCATTAAGGCACGGTCCGATAATGACACAATTCGACAACTAAGGACAAAAATGTGTCATTTCTCTCACCTAACGTTTTAAAAAGTGTATTCTGTCAGTTCATGGAGGTAAAAGACAGACCTCCATGGTCAGTTGTACACCTAAAATAAATCGCTAATCATCGGTGTTGCGTCATTGAGAAATACTTACTGTTAAGCCAGGGCATGCCGGCATCCTCAAGTATGACGCGAATTGCACGTTCCAATGCCTCAAGTTGCCACTGCAAGGTAAAGAAGAAAGCATTAAACAGAGTGTGTAAGTATATTTTATGTAATTGCTTATTACTGAAGATAATGTATGTAATAGTGACAGAAGTAGTGTACGTAATATACTATTTTATTTTCTTGTAGTTACATTTTTATTAGAATACATACCTCCTGAACATCAATAATGGAGCTGTCTAGGTCCATCTTGAATCTGGTGAAGATTGGGCAAATGTATATATGAATTTAAAAAATAACAACAATTTAGGAAATATGGGTTTGTATTTTTATGTTCACTGCATAAATTCTGTAATTGTTGGCATAGTTGTACATATTATTTAATACAATTCCCATATATATGTATCGCAACTGATTGAGTGACACGTTGATTGTAACTATGACGTAATAATACATACCCAGTCAGTGTTGCATGTGAATATAAGTGATCTCCTTCCATGTTTGGCACCAACAAAAATTCCAGCGTCTGTAATACATTATGGATTGTAAGTTTCACAAAACAGTTAATTATCATGTATCAATTAGCTAATTAAAATGAACAGATCAATTAGAAATAATTGTTAAACAATCAACTGTAAAGTTATGTGTATTTGCCAAGTTTCAACATATTGGGAGGTAAGATGCAATAACACAGTTTGTAAATTGTGTGTTGTATGCTGCTATGAAGGTTGAGGTTCCTGGGCCACAACGAGTCTACTGCCAAACTTCAAATTATGATATCTCAATGTTTTATCAGCATTGTTTGCAATCTGTATCTAATTTTGAACTGAAAAGAATAATGTTGTTCCTGGCATATTGCCGATATGTAGAAACTAGGACTATGCAAAGTAGTTTAGATAAGGCAAATCTTCGTTATTTACATGACTAAAACTTACCCCTAGAACTGATAAAATATGATTTGTTATTGTTTCATTATCGTGACCATTGACGGCTAATAATGACACCATCCCTGGGACTGTCAAAAAAATACCTCTCTTCGAGGATTGGAACTTAGGTGGTGCTGGCATTTCAAAAGAAAGTTGGATCGAGCTTTCTGGGAAATCTTCGAATACCTAGAATCAATTATATAAACGTAGTGAATGATTATGAATGTTAAATTCGATGTAAACTTGAGGCCATATTTATTATGGACATTTGCGAATATACGCAAATATGATGATACATTGACAGTTGAAAATAGCCTTTTTCCCAAAAATTACTAAATATTTACTAAAATTATAAAATTAAACTTAAAAACTATGCAAGGTGTCTAAATATAAAATGTCAAAACAATTTTGAAGAAGTTGAAAATATCCACTTTTACTCAAAGTGACAAACTGTTCGCTACAATTAGAGAATTAGACTATCGCCACAGAAATTTATAAATCTGACTTAGCACTTTTCACCAAAAATATTCATCAGTTAAAGTTATCACCACGAATTTTACAAATCTGAGATAGGTTCACCCAAGTATCGAAACAAGTGGATTTGCCATTTGCAAAACAAAAGTCGAAAATGTAAAGATGACGCCAATGGACGAAGCACGGCGACAGACAATCAGTAATATGAACCGCTCCGCCCCGTTGACTGCAGTCAGCAGCGGGGCTAAAAAGGCCAGTGTGACCATACAGACAAATGAGCCATTCGCGTGCTTGGGTACGTCAGACCATCCACAAATTTAGGTCTATCTAGCGATTTTATCATCATTCTACTACTGATATATTTTTATAAAACCTTAAATTCGAAGTACTGTTAATTCGTCAATTCAATTGTAACAGCAAAGTAGTATACTGCATGATCAATGTTATAAATAGCGGTAAGGGGTTTTCTCTATATTTGTTGAGTTTCTTTGTGTGGGTTTTTAAGCAGTCTGCAATAGTAAACAGGCCAAAATATAAATCCTACAAATTATACATATATATTATTAAGGAACTACACCTGGTGCAAAGCAATACCTTTGGGAAAGTTCTTCGTAGAGCGTACGCCTCAAGCGGAAGTATTTCATGCAAGACTGAGTCGGCTGGAACCTAATGAAAACATAAATAAACATTGACTGCGTTTAGAACTATTGTTATAATATGTGTCATTTATTGTTTGCAGATGAATACGTAATACATAAACCCAAACCTCCCAGTGACCTTAAACGGCGCTCATGTTTGGATGGCACCCCACGGAAATATCTTACACTGAAACGTTTATATAATCACATAAGCTTGATGAAATATATAAATAAAATTAAATCTTCATGCAGATTATTTTGGTCGAGAGCCAACAGGTTTATTACAGCAATCGTTGAGCAGTGTTATTCGAACCATGTGGTGTAACTGTGAACAATATTTATTATAAACATTGGTACGTTGTTAGTGTGGTATGATTATGCCACCGGATGGCCCGTTTCTCATTAATCAGTTATAATCACCATGTTTATACGCGGTTTAACACTTTCATACATCGTCCATTTGACTGATAGCGCTGAGACAAGCCATAATGCCCAAACTTAAAAGCAGCTTGCCTGCGTTGTTGAAAGTTATTTTAAGCTGTGCAATCGAATAGCAGAGGTGGTCCTGACTTCTAAATGGTCAGTGTCAACATATGGTTGAAATAAAAAAAAGATTTGTTGATGGGGGGAATTCTGTTGACTTTGTCTGGTACTTCAAACTCCCGGGTTCAAACTATATTAAATCAGCCAGTGCAAAAGTAGCTAATACCGTGGGACATCGGAGAGTCGTTTCTGGCTACACTAATACCCCTCTGCCTCGTGGTGTTTCCTACACTTATAGCACAATCGTCATGTCCATCTGTGGTATAACTCATTTATACCAAGATCGCCATTTTCATCTATGAGTAACACATTTATACCATGACCAACGTAATACTCACAGGTGCTTCAAGTCTAGAATATCTGCAGTGGTCGTTGCTATGGTATTATGATGTAACCTGCTCATTGTCACATTGCAAGACTTTCCATGAGTTTACCTGGACGTATTACCGGTATGCGAAAACCATTTAATTTGCACTAAAAACCATGAAGATGACACATATGATAACAATTCATAATTACATACTAGATCAACATTGAATGGCTGCAATGTATACTTTAGTGTTCCCGATTTGTACAATGAATATCCCAGTGAGTTGAATACGTAATCACTGATCCATATGTACGTCATTCGTGTCGATATGTCAGTTCTATTCATCGGTGTGGCGGCGAAGGGTAAATTGCCACTGGGTTCATCAACATAGATTTGTCCCTGTTGTTATAAAAAGAAATACAATTACTTTAACTTGGACAATTGCTCATTTATGGGTTTTGGTAACATGTGACGTGCTCGAGTGCGTCATAAAATCATGGACCATTATGTGTAATTAATGCAAGTCATTTTGTTTACAGATCTGATTAAAATAGGTGAGTGGTTGCCATTTGTTTTGTTATATATTACATTCAAACAAATACACAATAATCTTGGGATACGTATGTACGTGCTTTTGTTATGTGATCTTTGTCAAGATGGGTGATTGTCGGCGTTTTTGTATACAAAATTAAAATCAAGCATTTCCGCCATTTTGAGACCGAGTTCCTGGCGTGCAAGGACGAATTTCGACATCAGATGAAAATATTTTTCGGGTAATAAAATAGAGTTTCTCGAAGATATCATTATGATCAGGTAAGTTTGGTGGCGCTATGCATATAAATGCTTGGTTCTACCATAGACCCTCTGTTAGAGGGTCTATGGTTCTACCACAGTCCCTCTATAGATAGAGGGACTGTGGTTCTACACTATCAGAATATAGATGGTTTCAAATCTCGCCATACAATCATGAATGTAGTAGTAAATGTCCTCTATCTGTGCTAGGTAGCCCTAGCTTGTACCTCTCAACTGTATACCATACCATATACTATACATATGCGGGTTTACAATGAAAATGATATACTCAGATTTATGTAACAACCGTTTTTCATCTAGATTGCAGTACATGACCCTGGGACATGTCTAATGAACTTACCTCTACACTCACATCTACGTAATTGTCTGTAAAGTAAGGTGGGTTTACAAAGCCAAATGCCATATCTGCTATTCCTGGGATAACAGGTGCATTCACTAGAAACATAGATAAGGCATTAAACGAACGAGTGTTTATAAAATAATATGTTTTGTGACACATTGCTGTTTTGTAATATCGAATGATGTTAATTTACAATGTACGTAAGTTGGCGTATCAAGAAATAGAATAAGTTTTCTTTTTGCATAGTTCCTTTGTCTGCATTTACTTGTTTGGACAGTTTCTTTGTTGAAAACAGTCTGTATTTACTGATAAGCGATAGGGATGTTGTGTAAAACACAACGTGTATGTTGAGTGAGTTATTACCTCCATGGTGAGACGTGCAATAGAGACGTGTCAAAGATAAGTTGGTCAAAAGCAATATATTACCACTTACGCATTTGTTCCCTTAATTGAACCCCAAAATTCTGAACAAAACCCTCGACTTCAGCACATGCCTTTTCTTTAATGTCGTTTTCAAGTGATGATCTAATGCTTCCAGAAAATAGGCTGTACAACCAACTAATTAATGAATAAAAGATGAAAATAATGCATTGTATTCTATGAATTCTTCATTATTTGCTTCCAGTTATGCACATTTGCATATCAAACAAACAACATATGGGACGTGGCCTAGAGTGCGCTGTTTCCTACAACGCCAACGATAATTAGTTCGTTTTGTTATCTGTATAAAAATACTAAACGTCCAGTGATACTAGGCCCACAACAACAGTATAAGCTATATCTATAATTACAATAAATTTCGTGCAATTTCGTGATGATTTATAATCATCTCGAATACGCACGTGTTTACTGTGTTTTGCGTTTCACTTCCTGGGCGACACAAAGAATACATTTGCATCTACGAATAAAATACAAAAGTCCAACAAACGCCACACAAAAGTTCAACATTTGTCACTTTCTCCATTGTTACATACTTGATATATCATGTTACAAGGTTGCGTACTCGGTTCGGAGAAAATCGATGAAAAAATAGAGTTGTTTGTTTGAGCATGTTTGTCTGTTTTATTGTTTCCTATAAAATGGATATTTCTCAATATATCACAATTTAACTTTGTGACATATGGTGAAAAAGATATACACTGTCTTACAAGGTACTTTTTGAAGGCTAGAAGTATTAAAAATTTAATAACATTTTTAGTGGTTTGTATCGAGGAAATGTGTTTCATTGTGATACATTGAATCCGCTGGTGAAATAACATTTTATGTATATTAGTTTACCATTTTTCTCAAAAGACCTCCATTAAATTTATGTGGGTCCCATGCATTATCTATAAGTTGACACGGTTTCTATGTTAGACTTACCTTTTTCCTCCTGTAAGTTCAATGTCAAGACTGTCCAGTGTGGCTAGACATGCCCCTGTATCCAATGTTGGCTGCCCAAGTTCATCACTACCTGCATAGTAACGCAAATAAGCTGTTGGTTATCGTTTGGCTCATATCACGACAGTGTTAGTATCCTTGTGAATACCTATTTCATTTGTCACTACCAAATTGATATACTAGTATTTAAAGTACTCACCGATCAACACTTCAAGTTCAAATGTCAATCCCCGGATGACAATATAAAATGTCCCGATATCTGATACAGTAAAACTACAATAAAGATGAAAGTTTATAAAACGGTGAATTATTTCCATTAAAAGAACGGGAATTTAACAATAATAAGCGCGGTATTTGATTCGTCTTTCTTTATAGTCTTTAGCTCAAACTAAAACACCATTTTACTACCATAGACAACCCCATTTCACTGCAATAGACTGACAACTCCATTTTATTACTAGTAATATAAAGAATCCCACATCCCACTACTAGCTACCATGAAATGTACATAAACTTACAAGAACGCTCTATAAGAATACGACCAGTTACCAACCACTGTAGCATGTGCATCTGTTATATTCAACATAAGACCTTTGCCTGGAATTGAGTAGATTTCAGCTGATGAGGTATCGAATTCTAGAAACTTCACTCTGTCATCAGTAGAACAAAAAAAGTTTGACAAAAATTAAGAAATAAATTAAAGATTGTACATGCTTAATCTCATTGAACGAAATTGTGAGAAAATCTATATTATGGCTTACGGAACAGAACCCGATGACGAGTAAGAATGGAACGCAATTTAAAGCAAAAATAAATCTCGCTGTATTCTCGCTCTCGACGAGATCTCGCCGGTCATTTACGTCCAAGGTTTATTGTGAATTTCTTACCCATCTACTTGGTATTTCACGGTTCCGACCACAAGTTTTGACGTGCCATTATATGCTGGCAATGGTTCACCTTCAACTTCACCGCCAAGTTCAGCTAGAATACTATTCAGTACTGTAAATAACAACGACATGACAACGCATTACGTAAATTTATCCCAACCAACACCAACATGGCAGCTGTTATGCAAGCGTTGAATTATTATTTGCATCTTACTACCATATACCATCCACATCTAATTGCCAGTGCCCTAACCATTAGTTCACAAGTTTTTTGTCAAGATATTTATGAATTCCCTAAATAGCTCCATGTATTTAAATATTTTCAAAATCAATTCCCATCCATTCATTCACGGACGTAAGTTTCAACAGCGGTTTAATTAACTCCGAATAGAACCCTGTATTTTGCTACAAATGTGAACCCCCATAACATAAAATTTATCATGCGTGTTTATCGCCATATCTTGCACATTCCTTGACCCATAGCCCCGTGTCAATACGTATCATGGCATTGGAGGTGTACGGGGACCTCTCGTGGCCTATATAATACATTGACACAATGAGATATAAGTCAATGCACTGCAAGATACTGCGCGGTTAAAAACATTTTGAACTCTTTAAGAAACATTTTGCATTTTTGTAACTTTTTACTTGGTGTTATTTTAACTACCGCCAAATAATAAAGCCAAATAAGTATATGAAATATAAATATTAAATACATATTTTAAACAGATCAAAATGCATTATTGTATAAAATGTTATGCTAAGTATGTTTTTCAAATGCAATGGTAAAACAGAAGCAACCTAACGATAATTTAAATAGCGAACTTGGCCGATATTCACGCATGGTTGACAATGTCACTAATCATTATCTTGTGATAAGAAAACACATTATGTTATTTTTAATGTAGATTTTTAAACATTCTGTTATTCACTGAATTCACTAGCCTAAGGTCTGAACTGTCCAATATAAATAATGTTAGTCAATTAGGCAATAGAAAATTAAAATAAATTTAGAATGAATGATAAGGTACTATAATTAAAGAAAACAACCGATTATTGGATGTAAACCTACACTACTGTTAATGTGAAATTTCAACAACTTGATACAAACTGAAGTGAACAATAGTCTCGATGAGACGGATTTATCTCGCAGCACAGACTATGTCATGTCATGTTGTATGGAGGTGGTATCTATTGTAGGATAAGTCATATCATGACTGGATGGTAGTCCATACATCACTACATATCTATAGTCTTGCTTACGCTAGATCGCTTTGTTAATATGTTTTATTAGTTTGATAAATCTCGCGGTCTGTTCCTTCTTAGCAGTGGTATGTATATATTGGCGTTCATATCCATTCACGCTTTTTTCACGTGCCATTGGATCGCCGTTGGAGGGCGTTGTTTTAGCCTCGAGATCTTGTTCACACGTGTCTCACCTCGGAAGTCAGGGTCGAAACCAGTCCTCGTGCTCCGCCCAAGTGTATCTGATAAAAGGTGTGTTTGTACAATGGATTCAAATTAACTTCAGGTCGAACCCCACGTTTTGCTACATTTGTGAACACCATGTACTAGTATGTCGCAATCATCAAGGAACATCTCTTTTTCATGATCGACCCTTTGGACATTGAACCCGTTGTTGTAGGCTAATTTTCCCATATAGGTTATCGACTAATACACTGATAATGTGGCTTTTATGGTTAATAATGTGTTTATGTAAACATACGATATTGTTTTTTTTCGTGAAGAATGGCATTTGTTTTATATGAGTAATGAGAAAAAATAAAGATAGTGCCCGTAACTCCGGTCTGTCACGTTGTCAATCACAATCCGTATAGGTCAAATGCTATGACCGTTTCAGTGATCGAATTGACCAGGATAGCAGTAATACCAATCATTCTTATGGCAAAAAATAACGCGTTTGTTTCATTCTAATGTGTATGTCTTATACGCGATATGCCGAATGACATCGTACAAACAGAACTAGTCAACCGACCGGCGACGACTTTGTACGTAAGAAATAACCAACCAAACATTACATAGCATATTAAATTTCATTTAAAATAACATTACAGAAAATATCACTCGTGTAATATAAATACTCGTGTTCGAATAAATGTTTCGGCTAAGGACGTTTCGATCAGAACATTGCTATGACGAGTTATCACGTGTCCGAATTTCGACGGGTCCTCATTTTTGAATACTAGAACGTCGCCGATTCAATCTTCGAAAAAGAATACGATCGAATACATAAAAATGACCGCATCATCGTGTCAAAGATTCACACTTTTCTCAAAAGTGGTGGTCGTGGCACATTATTAAGAACATACCATAATTAACGTTGCCGTGGTTATTGCTATTTCAGTTATTTGCTACGTTCACACGACAGCATTTTATCGTAGCCCTACGGCTCGAGCCAGCCAAAATGGTCGTGTATAAGCGTTCGGCTCGAGCCAAGTTCGGCTCCAATAAACCCTCGTGGTTGAACTATCGCGATGGCCTTACCTCTAATGTGTACCAATACTGATTACGTTCAACACATCAACACTGTGAATACCGTACTTTGTACACATACGGAGAACTAATCGCAAGTCAGGGTCAAACGTTCTGTCAATAATAAATGTATTCTAAACAGATAATAGCGGGTTTTAAGACGGCTGCCAACTTAATTCGAAACTCGTGAAAATAGTCTGATATTAATGGCCAACCTATGAATTCAGCAAAAGCGTCATGTTTTCATTTGATCACGTGATTCAATCACGGATCACCCTTCAGATGATTAAGATGAGATTGCTATCATGGCTCCATGTAACAATCAAGTCCACTTCTACATTTTTTACAGTTTTAAATGCATGCCATGATTATATGACAGTTTCTGCATGATGAAATATATACTTACAGTGATCAAAGCCAGACTGTGTCAATCTTCCAACTATTCCAGGATTCTTTGCCCTGCCAACGATCGTCTTTGAAATATCTAATTTAATTTCAACATCCTCTTCGGCAATGGAGATTGAAATTGCGAAAAGTACGAATAGCGATAGTCGTGAAATTGTAGCGATTACCGGCATGGTCACGGATTGATGTAAGACAGGAAATGTAACACAGGATACCTGACGAAATTCACCCCTTGCCCTTCTTCCCTTTGTTGGACTACGCTGTTGTTATGTGGAGCATTGTGGGTAATTATAGTCACGTGACCAATGTCCGGCCCAATAATTACGTACTACATGTACAAGTCCGAGGTGCATCCGAATAAACAATGTCAAAAAGACAGTCGAAGAATAAAGTTTATCTGTATTTCATCTCTATTGTCGGTTGCACATAAAGTGTCAACAGACATGGGGGCAGCGCGTGTAATCCATAGTTTGATTAATTACATGAACTTTAAACGCGCGTTTAAATTTCACGTAATTTATTAAATTGTTTATTTATTTATTTATTTTGACGACTTCTTGAAAATGTGTTTTCGCATATTAGCACATGTATAGTTTGTATCATTTGTGTATATGGCAGTCGTGTTACTCAAATTGTCACAGAAATCTGTACGACATGTAGAGTGGATCATTCGAAATTCTGGGGGGGTAGAAAAAATGTGCGAAATATTTTTCACTTCTTCACTTAGTTTTGTGCTATTTTTATGATGAATTTGGTGTTATCATATACGTCTTCTCTGGCCTCGTAACGCTATGGAAAGTGTACCCTCACAGCAGGGCAATGATTTCCTGTACCACGCCCGGCCCCGCGCTCGGTTTTGATCAATCAAAACAATAGTGTTTGAGGTCACGTTGTAGCAAAACGTAATTACACCTATAAGGTACATGATAAAACCTTTCTCGAATGAATACGGCTTTTGTTGCCCCAGTCGCGCGACCTCGGGTCGGAAAAGCCGTATCCAGTCTATAAATATTATTATTGTGAACACAGTGAAGTAGTTTTATCTCAAAGATTTTTTTTCTTATAATGATTTATGCGGGATTCCCCTCAATAATTTTTTCCTGTGCATTTTATTTCCAATTCTACCATCGCCCAAGGTTTTAGTGGTTCAACCATAACACATCTTTTTCTCGACTAAGTGGCGAGTGCTCAGACTGACATGGCACCCCGAACCGCTCGCTGCAAGCTGCTTTGAAGTTCATATATTTTTCTCTGACTGATTTGACCATGTATTTTGTTTTATTCTGCTTTGTCAGTCATCGTTTGTTATCTATTGTTTATTAGTTTCAAGTCATTTATTTTACATCCGTTTCGATAAAGTATGTTCTATTTCCCACGTTTTGTCTGCATATTCACCACTCTAAATGACGGTGCACTGTGGCGTCAAATGTCGTTCACGGACCAGTACTAGCTCGCGATCTGCTCCTGACAACGTTATCAGTAGTGATTTTATTAACAAATACCCATTAATGTGAACTTATA